AGCAAATGGTTTACACATTCCAGACAGTGCAGAAGGCAGACCAGCCTTGATCCCAGTCCCTTTCTGGTGACATTCTTTTTTGTTGTTGTTAATCTTCATCCAAGGTTATTTTTCCATTGATTTTTAGATGGTGTGGAGAGAGGCGGGGGCAGGGAGGGAGACACAGAGAGAGAAACATCAATTGGTTGCCTCCCACATGTGCCCCAACCAGGGCCAGGGATTGAGCCTGCAACTGAGGTATATGCCCTTAACTGAAATCGAACCTGGGACCCTTCAGTTTGAGTGCCCATGCTCAATCCACTGAGCCAAAGCTGCAAGAACTGGTGACATTCTTTGAAGGTGAAACTGACCAGAGAATGACCATTTTGATGCATCAGCATATCAAAGGACCCAGCACACTCTCTCCCTTGAGCAGGCCTGTGCCTGCATCCCCCCTCCTTTCCTCAGGCATGTATCTTTGCTTTCCTTTTCTTAAGCTCTAAAGGTTCCCAGGAGACTTGCAACCTGGGGAGCAGTGAGCAGCGACAACTCATCTCGGGCTAACTCCCTGAACCTGACTCCAAGGTCCCTCCTTTTGCCTCTAACTTGTTTCCTGAGTCCATGCCGCCCAGCACGGGTCCCTTCTGCTCTGTGATTTCCTTTCTCAAGGGCTGAGGCAGCCTTGCCTAGGCCTGGCTCTTCCTCACTCATGTTTCCGAAGGACCAAGGCAGCTCTACCTAAGCTCACTCCTGTTGCTAAGATCTTGCCTCTTCCATCTCAAGCCCTTGCTCTGTTTCACTGCCCCCAGCTTTAGTAAACATACTCTCAAAACTACCTGCACTCATTTCATGAAATCTTCCCTGCGTGAAGTCAAGAACCCACACATCACAGATTGTGCCAGGGCAGACCTGCCTTGGTCCTGGTCCCTTTCCAGTAACACTTGGTTAGGGTGGATGGGGTCTTGTGATTTATTAGCTGGCTGTTAATCGCTCAGATGTTTGTTTAACTGTCTCAGTTTCCCCATTCCACTTGCCAGGGAATTTTCCTAGCTTTTTACTAACCTGCTTTAAACTGAAGGCCCAAATTTTATGCAGAGTAAGAGTCTAAGGCAGCGGTTCCCAACCTGTGGGTCGCGACCCCTTTGGGGGTCGAACAACCCTCTCACAGGGGTCGCCTACGACCATCCTGCACATCAGATATTTACATTATGATTCATAACAGCAACATTAGAGTTACAAAGTAGCAATGGAAATAATTTTATGGTTGGGTCACAACATGAGGAACTGTATTTAAAAGGGCCGGAAGGTTGAGAACCACTGGTAAGGGTTCTTTGTCAGGGGCGTCTCCCCTGCTCTGTACACCAGGAAGAACCTCAGACTGAACTCTTGGCTTCCCACACTATGACTTGCCTGTGTCAACCACTGCAGGGAAACCCTGCTTTCATTTTTCTACCAACGGTCTGAGACCTGCCCTCCAATCAGAACTGTACAATTTGGATACCTCATGTGCAAAAAACTGACCTAATTCAGAACCTGGGCGGGCGGGAACTTTTGCTATAAAAGGTGGCCACCCCTTTGTCTTGGTGGAACACAATTTAGGTTGTTACTTGAATCTGTCTCCACGCGGCAACTCCTTTTGCTCACATAAATGCTTTTCTTTATTACAGTCTAAAATTAATTTTGGTTTACTGACAGGTGCAGCCACAAAAGGAAACACAATAGAGGCTCAGAAAAACAATTTATTATACTCAAATGTCCTAGAGACGGGAGGCACTGCACACACAGGGTCAAATGGGAAAGATGCCAGGGTGGTAAGGAGCCTGGGGGAGTACTTAGGAATGGCCTTTATTGGGGTGTCTGAGGGAAAGGCGAGGGAGGGCGAGGTAAGCAGATTAGGGTTGGCTGGTTTGAATAAATGTGGGTGGCCTTCAGTTGCCTGGTAACTGGCCCTGGGGTGATTAAGGTAGAGAAATGATAGCTTCTTGGGGTGCAGAGCCAGATACTGGAGGTGTAGCTCTAGTTTGGCTAGTTTGCATATCGAAGACATGCTCCTGGCTGGGCCCCTTGCCATCTGTAAGAACTGGCTTCTCAGAGAGGGGATCTCCTATCTAGAATGTTTTTTTATGATGCCACATAACATACAAAAAATCATATACGCCTGGCCTGTGTGGCTCAGTGGTTGAGCACTGACCCAGGCACCAGGAGGTTACCGGTTTGATTCCCAGTCAGAACACATGCCCAGGTTTCCGGCTTGATCCCCAGTAGGGGGCGTGCAGGAGGCAGCAGATCAATGATTGTCATTGATAGTTCGATCCCTTTCTCCCTCTTTCTTCCTCTCTGAAATCGATTTTAAAAATATTAAAAATTATATACAGGTTGGGCAAAAGTAGGTTTACAGTTTTCATTTGGAAAACAGTACAATAATTAATAATACAAAAATAAACTTTAATGTATTCACAACTGTAAACCTGCTTTTGCCCCACCCTGTATACATACACACATGTGCACACACAGTTTAGATTTACAAATATTTTCTCCCATTCTGTGGGTTGTCTTAACTTTCTCGATTGTATCCTTTGATACACAGAACTTTAAAATTTTGACGAAGTACAATTTCTCCTATTTTTTTTTGTTACTTGTATTTGTGGGGGTTATGTCTAAGAAACCATTGCCTAATGTAAGCTCGGGATGATTTACCCTTATGTTTTTTTCCAAAACTTTTATAGTTTTGGTTCTTATATTGAAGTCGTTGACATTTTAGTTAATATTTATACGTGGTGTGAGGTAGGTGTTATCTTCTTTCTTTTGCATTTCTATATCCAGTTGTCCCAGCATTATTGAAAAGACTATTCTTTCCCAATTGAATTGTCTTGATACCCTTATGCCAAAAATCAGCCATAAATATAAAGGTTTATTTCTGAACTCTCAGTTTGATTCCATTTATATTTTTATCCTTAGACCTTGATTTCTGTACTAGATTACTTGCTAACAGGAGCTTTATAATAAGTTAGAAATTGGGAAGTGTGTGTCTTCCAACTATGTTCTTTTTCAAGATTGTGTTGGCTATTCTGGGTACCTTGCATCTCCATATTAATTTTAGAATTCACTTATCACAGAGTGGTAGGTATAATTTAAAATTTTGTTTTAAAGTAATTTCAAATGTATAGAAAAGTGCCCAAAACAGTATAAAGAACTCCCATGTCCCTATTCACTCAGGTTCTGAAGTAGTTAACATTTTACTGGCTCATTGCTCACTCTGTATGTGTGTGTACGTGTGCATAACTCTTGTTATTAGCCTTTCCCTGGACCTTTGGGGGGTTAACAGAGCCCACAGCAGACATGGCGTCCTGTCACTCCTAATCACTCCCATGTGTATTTCCCCCCAAACAGGGTCACTCTCCTACATGACAGTCAATGACCTTCCACATCAGGAAATCAGTATTGGCACAACACTACCATCCAGTCCACGAAGCTCATTCACATTTCTCCCACCGTCCCAGCAATGTCCCTTTTCCTTTCTCATCCAAAAATCTCTAGGAGAGTATATATTGCATTTAGTTGTCGTGTATTCTGAGACTCCTTTAGTCTGGAGCAGTTCCAAGTCTTTCATATCCTTGACAGTGTTAAAGAGTACAGGCCTTACTTTCTATAGCAGTGATGGCGAACCTGCGACACGCGTGTCAGAGGTGACACGCGAACTCATTTTTTTGGTTGATTTTTGTTAAATGGCACTTAAATATATAAAATATCAAAAATATAAATCTTTGTTTTACTATGGTTGCAAATATCAAAACATTTCTATATGTGACACGGCACCAGAGTTAAGTTAGGGTTTTTCAAAATGCTGACACGCCGAGCTCAAAAGGTTCGCCATCACTGTTCTATAGGATGGCCTACACATTTGGGTCCCTCATGGCAGGAAAACCAAAAAATGATGCTTTGCCTTTTCTCTGTGAGTCTCATCAGGCTCCTCCCAACATTGGTGATGTTAACCTTGATAACCTGATCATGTTGGTTTCTTCAACTATCTAGTTTTCCCCTTTGTGATTGATCAGTATTCAAAAATCATGCTACTATCCTATCCCTCATCAAACCTCCACCCATCAACCATTGAAGATTTCTGCCTGAATCATTAACACCTTTATAGTGGGTGCCAAATGGTAATTCTCTATTTCCACCATTTCCTCTTCATTATTGAGTGGCATCCTACGGTTAGAGCTGTCCTTTCCATGTATTTAGATCAATGTGAACTTGTGTATTCTTATTTTAATTGATTGTCATTCGTTCTTATCACTGCTTATTCCGATGCTCAGATTTGGCCAGTGGAGCCCCTTCCAGCTGGCTGTTAAAGACTGCAACATTTTAATGGCTGTATCCTGCTAAGGTTCCTCCGTGCTGTGACTGCTTTGTAAGATGCTATTTTGTGAATATATGTGTTTCTTCATCCACTCTTCTGCTGATGGCATTTGGGTTCTCCCCAGTGTTTGCTATTGTGTTTTGCTATTTCAACTCTAATGTTACACTTGAACTGTATTGAAATCTTTCATAACATCATGTACTTCGAGGCTGTGTATTGTATAAATACTAAGCACCAGAAGCAGCGTTTTGCACTCCGAGAGTCAGGCTAGCTTTTAAAATACTGTCTTATCTGCATTTTTCACGGAGAAAGATTTAAATGACCTGTTTTCACAAACATTTAATAAAGGTTTTATCTTTACATAAATTTCCTTTTGCACCCCTTCTATTTACGTAGGGGTAGTGAAAGACAAGGGCTGAGAAAGCAAAATTAAAAGGCGGAAAACGTTACACCGAGCCCTAACTTTTGCCGAGGGAAAGTGCCGCCGCGGAGACGGGACTGCGGGGGCCAATCAGCACGCGTTCCGGCGCGCAGGCGCAGAAACTCACATTCCCACCCGGCCGGTTCTGCCCCCAAACGTTATCGCGAGTCTTGGGGGGAAACGTCTGGTAACTGCAGAAACTAAGTTCTCGCGAGAGGTAATTGGTTGCTATAGTTGCGAAAACACAGCTGTGGCTGTCGCAGGTAAGACAGCTGTCTCCTCAGAAAACCCCTTCTTCCCGGGCTCCCCACACCGCCCCGCGGCCGCACGCCGTTACCGCAGTCTCCGCTCTCAGCAGTGGCTGACCTGAAGCGCATCCCTGCGCGGCTGCACCCCCAAACGCACCCAAACGCCACCGACCCCGCTAAAGCGACGCCCCGCCAAGCCCAGGCCTCCCACCCAAACGGGACAAAGACCCCTGGGCTTTGCGCAGACTGCGCCCGCCGCAGACCACACTCCTCCCGTCGGCTCCTTCATCTGACAGTTAGATTCTAACTGGTTCCTAAGGGACGCTTCTCCTGCGCCGCCTTCTGAGCAGATGACAAGGGATGGGTGCCGGGTGGGCGCTAGGAGTCCCGCCTGACGGCCCTGGCCATTACTTGTAATGAGCCGTATTCTTGCATTCGTTACTCAACAATAGGCCGCTAATGCCTCTTGCAGAGCAGACGTGGTGCCAGGCCCTGAGAGGCTGTGAATATGAATGACAGATTACTTGTTTTTTATTTGTCTTTTATTTTTATTTTTTGTTAATCCTCACCCAAGGATATTTTTCCATTGATTTTTACAGAGAGGGGGAAGGAGAGGGAGATACAGAGAGAGAAACATTGATGTGAGAGAGACACAGCGATTGGTTGCCTCCCCCACACGCCCTGACCAGGGCCAGGGATTGAGCCTACAAGGGAGGTACATGCCCTTGACTGGAATCCAATCGGGACACCCCTCAGTCAGCAGGCGGAGGCTCTGTCCACTGAGCAACACCAGCTAGGGCGACTACTTGTCCTGAAGGGGGTAACTGAGCATTCAGAAAAGCAGTGAATATTAATAATGCCATTTGTGCTTTGCTTCATAGGCTAAACACGTTTACTATTACAGTGGCTATTCACGACAAAGGCGAAACAGGTCAGAAATTTTATCCATTTTACAGAAGGTGAAACTGAGGCTGAGAGAAATTAGGCATTTGTCCAGGGTCAGGCTAGTAAAGACCTAGTTCATGTGGTGCTCTTGAAAAGAAAAGAAGAAAACGAATGCAAAAGGTCATTTCAAATGTAAGCCGAGCTAGGTTGTCAGGGCCACTTAGGCCTGGAGACATGGTGTTGAACAAGTGATAGGAGACTTTTAGGTGAATGGGAAAATGAAGGCGGAGCTGTGAAGAGGCAGAATAATTTTAAAGTCTGGGGGCAGCAAGAAGGTATCTCATTATTTTGTACCACCAGGACTAGACACAATTAGCATAGACAGGGGTCCTCAAACTACGGCCCGCGGGCCCCATGCAAATACAAATATTGTATTTGTTCCCGTTTTGTTTTTTTACTTCAAAATAAGATATGTGCAGTGTGCATAGGAATTTGTTCATAGTTTTTTTTTTTAACTATAGTCCGGCCCTCCAACGGTTTGAGGGACAGTGAACTGTCCCCGTTTAAAAAGTTTGAGGACCCCTGGGATAGTATATCCTAAGTAAACGTTTGAATTGCATTAAGTTCTACTTTGAATTGAGTCAGAAAACATGACCTTAAAAAAAACACACAGATATCCAGTTCATTTTTGAAATGGTGTCCTCGGTGTTATAAAATAATTAGAAAACATCTTTGACTAAATAAGACATATGTCAGGACTTTTTCCAGTGGACTAACCATTCGATGTGTCTGCTTCTTTCCATCTATATCTATATCTATATCTATATCTATATCTATATCTATATCTATCTATCTATCCCTATCTATCTATCCCTATCTCTCTCTCTCTCTATATA